TATATATGTATATACACACACACACACACATGATAAATTGATACATTTAGCAATTTATAAAAATAAATTAATAATTTAATTGTATTATTATTTTCATGTGTGTGTGTGTGTGTAAACAATATAAATAAAATAGTAAGTTAATGCTTTTAAAAATGTATTAAAATATTCTATGCATGCATGTATACATGTTCTATGAATGACTATCTTATAGTTTCTGCAAACTGAAGCACAAGGTGGAATAATTTTCTGCACACAGCATGCCACAGAAGCTGTCCATAAAGCTTAAGCTATATTCAACCCGGAACGTTCCTTTAACCCTAATGGATTCTAGATCAGGTCAAAATGTGCAGAAGACAAGATTCATTAGTGCTGGACCAACTTTTCCCACCCAGACACCCAAAACATCAGTGCTGAACAGATGAGCCCACAGATTCCAGATTCATAACGGCCGAAATCAGAAAACCAATCCTCTGTTACCCCCAAACCTGGACATCAACCTCCCCAGACAGCCTCTTCTGACAGCGATCTCTCCACGAGCTTATTTACCATTCTGAAGCCAAACTCTCCTGTGAAAGATCCTTTTCAAACTTGTTAGCAGCCAGACAAACACTCAGTCAGGCAGAACGCTCACAACAGAGCTGATAAACCCTGATGTAGAATCACTGACTCAGCCAAGCCTGACATTGCCTGTGAGAAAAGCTCCGAATCCACACAACACGCTCCATATTTCAAACGTGTACAAATCTAACGTTGTTCTACAAGAGGAAACTCAAAGACCAACTCGTGCATGCTTAATATTTCAAGCACAATAGGACGCCTTGAGCAGATTCTAAAAGGCATTATTTGGATCATACTTGGGGGCATTTTTACATGTTTGAATTCTGGGTAATTATTTTTTAATTAAGCTCTGAATGAACCAGATTTCTCGAACAGGACGTTCGCTGAAAACCAGGCCATTTGGTACCACTGAGATCTGCACGCGAAAAGTCCAGCAGGGATTTCATTTAATGAGAGCTCTCGTTCAGCACCAAACACACTTTGTGAGAGAGCTTATGAAAAATGTTGTGATGTATTGCAGTAACCGAACTTTAGTTATTCCTGTATCCGAGCCGCCAAACACTCAAATATAGTGACCATGAAGCCACACAGGAGTAAAGTTATGCTCAGCATTTTTAAAAGCATTACAAGCACAAATCCCATGTTTTTTTTTTTATTAGATATGACAGATAAACTATTATATAACATAAAACTAGTTTTAAACACATCAAACGTTTATATCCCTCAGTAAAATAGTGATTTTGGCCTGTCCCACCTCAGAGGTCAGACAGTTTCCACTTTCTATAACAATTAAAATGATACAATCTCATAATTTTGGCATCATCTAATATTAAATAAATAATCAATTTTGATAAATATTTTAATGTAGACTGGATTTTTGATTTTTTTTGGGGGGGAGGGGTATTTTTAATTTTATTTTTTAGGGTAAGTTTATCAATAAGTATAAATCAATGTAAGGTCCCAAACAAGCTAATCTGTATATAGATTTTTTATTTATATTTATGTAAAAACATTTTATTAATTGTATTATATAATACTATGTATTTTAATATTTTATATTTGTATAAACAATCTTTTTAATTTTGAGGTTTGTTATATATATTATGTATTTATTATTATGTTTACTGCAACAACATGACCAATTGGGGTGTGTTAATTTCGTTGACGAATAATTTTCGTCATAATTTTCGTCAACGACATTTTTTTTACCGACGACAACGAGCAAACCCATTAGATTTTAGCCGACTAAATTTACTGTAGTTTTAGTCGACTAAAATCTTATGATATTTAGTCGACTAAAACTCGACTAAAACTAAAAACAATTCAGATGACTAAAATATGATTAAAACTAAATGGCATTTTAGTCAAAAGACTATGACTAAAACTAAATAAAAATTTGCCGTCAAAATTAACACTGGTGTAAACTGTATTTTCTGTAACAAGGTTACAAAATGTGCAATCTTCATATGAAATGACAAGTATACTGATAATTTAATATTTGCTATTTATTTGTCTCGTGAGACTAACAAACAATATCTGAAGTTTAAGCACCTCAATTTACTGAGCACTTGTTGAAAAAAATAATATACATATATTTAGTCACAGACCTATTCATGTGAAGCGGCTCAGCTTTTGTGTGTGTTGTTACCTGGTTGAGACGGAGTATCGTTCCCGCAGGTGTTTGCACGGCACCCCAGCCACTGTGATGTTTTTAATGTCATCCTTCTGAATGCCAAGGTTCGAGCCCTTAATAGTTACAGCTATTCCTCCTTTCAGCGGCCCGAATCTCGGCGTGATCTGAAATACATTATAAAAACACCTGAATCAGGGAGAAAAGACCATAGAGATGACCAGTCTCACTAAAACAACAGAAAAAGATGAATATTTCTAAACAAGCTAATGTATTCCCAGCAGTAATTCAGCCATCTGAACAGAACATGACCTGAGGTTTCTACTGATTTTTACTCGAACAATTTGTGAAAACCGGAAAGGAGAACAAGAAAAGTTATAAATTATTGCTTGAACTTTCTCGGGCTGTGTTTTGAGTATTGAGGATTGTCAAAATCACAACATTAATTTAGAAAATGTTTCATAAAAGCCAGAGTTTTAGGGTCATTGGCTTGTTTCGGCTCATCAGTGGAGACTCACGTCAGTGATCTGGGGGTCGGGACACTCCTCCGGCTCTTTCGAGGCACAGAGCTGGTCGTACACACACGAGCTGGACTGCGTGCACCACACACACTGATATTTGGGGTCGGCGTTCTTACACAGGCTGCAGTCTTCACGTCCCAGAGAGCAGTTATACAGAGTGACTGAAAGACAAACCCAGAGTAAAACCACCAGAGGAACTTGCTTAAAAAAAGTTAAGGTATAGTTTATATCTAAACCTGTAGGAAATGTTTTGCACAAATAATATAATAAGTACTGTAAATAATGTCACAAAATAAATGTCATAAATAATTAATTAAATATTTTTTACATAATATAAACAAAAACAGAGCATTTTACATAAATAGTATAAATAAAATCAAATATTGGCTTTGAGTGAGGAAACAACTGAATTTAAGTATGTGTATAATATGTGAAGTACTGAAGCACAATTGGTAAATGAATCATTTTTGAGTCAAATCTTTTGAATGAATCAATGGATCCGATTCACAAAATCAGTCTAAATTTTCTGTCATTGTTTACTCATGTTGGTTCAAACCTGTAAGAATTTCTTTTAATTTTAAAGGCTTTTTTTGCATAAATAATGCAATAAGTAAATGATATAATAAAATAAATAATATAAATAAATAAGTAAATAATATAAATAAAAAGCAGTGGTTCCCAACCCTGGTCCTGGAGGCACCCCAACACTGCACATATCTCCTTTCTCTGATACACCAATTTCAGGTCTTGGAGTCTCTACTAATGAGCTGATGACCTGAATCAGGTGTGTTTGATTAAGGAGACATGCAAAACGTACAGTGTTGGGGTGCCTCCAGGACCAGCTTTGGGAACCACTGTTCTAAAGTCATTCAATGGCTTTGGGTGAGAAACAACTGAATTTAAGTTGTTATATTAGAAGAATGAATCATTCTTTTGAGTCAAAACTTTTCAATGAATCAGTGGATCTGATTTACAAACCAGTTGAAACCAGTTTGTAATGTCGGTCCAAACCATAAATAAGTAAATAATACATATATATAATAAAATACTTAATATAAGTGAATAATTAAATAACATAAATAAATGATTAGCCTTGTGCGCTAAATTTAAAGTCTTCTAAAGTCATTCAATGGCTTTGCCAAAGAAATAACTGAATTTAAGTTGTTTAAGTTATATGAGACGTAGTGAAGCCCAATATGTGAATGAATCGTTGTTTTGAGTCAAATCTTTTCAATGAATCAATGGATCTGATTTACCAAATCAGTCTAAACCTGCCTAAATTTGATGTCCTTGTTTACTCATTTCGGACCAAACCTGTAGGAATTTCTTTTCATTTTAAATACTTTTTTGCATAAATAATATAATAAGTATGAAAAGAAAATAAATAAATAAATGTTTTTCAGAAATAATATAAATTATAACAGACCTATATACATATGATTTTTATGTAAATAACAAATAAAATAAAAACTTGTTTATGTAATAACAATGAATAAGGACTGTCCCTTACAAGCTTAAAAAAAAGATGCAAAAGCACCATATTTCATATGACTCGTGTGCTATATTCAAGACTTCTAAACTCATTCAATGGCTTTGAGTGAGAAACAACTACATTTACATTGTGAATGAATCATTCTTTTGAATCTTTTCAACAAATCAGTGGATCTGATTGACAAAACCAGTCCAAATGATCATTCACAAACTGAATTGATTGGATTCTCAAGTTCAACATATCGCTGAGTTTAACATGAGAATCAGATCGATCATCTTGGTACTTTTCTGGACCTTGAACGTGGTAGTTACCTTGCTGTCTATGGGAGGGTCAGAGAGCCCTCAGATTTCATCAAAAATATCTTAAATTGTGTTCCGAAGATGAATGAAGGTCTTACGGGTTTTCCAACAACACGAGGGTGAGTAATTAATGACAGAATTTTTGGGTGAACTAACCTTTTAATGTTTGTCCATTTTTGAAGCTTAAAAACTTCTGTCCCCATTCATTGTAAGTCCACTGCAAGAGCAACCAGCACATTCTTCAAACTAACTTCTTTTATGTTCCACAGAAGAAAGTGTCATGCGGGTTTGGAACGACATGAGGGTGAGCAAATGATGAAAAGCGAGCGAAAGCGATTACCGCTAAGACTGCTGTCGATCTTCTTTCCCGTGTATTTGTCTCTTACGTGGAACAGAACGTTGGTCTCATGAGCTTTATCAAAGGAAAACTGGAAGAGACAGATCAGAGGGTGAGTCAGACCAGCTTTCAGGAGCATCTCATTTGGACAAGAGCTCATCTTAGGTAAAAATATTCCTCTCCGTATCCACGGGCAGTTTGGCAGGAAGTCAAAAAGCAGCCGAAGAGTATATGCTGCTCTCTCCGCTCAACACCTACGGTTCTCTCCTCCACATTAAACACTAGAGACGAATTACAGCCTGGAGACTTTCCAACAGGGGGAGCTATGATCTCAAACTGCCAGAAGAGCCACTGAAGTGTAGGCAGGTGTCCCTTACATTGCTAATTGGTTGCATATCATTCAGCAAGAGCTTTTTATATAAAAAGATTTACAGTAGAGGAACAACAGTCTGCCTTGGGCAACATGCAGATAGAGAGAGAAACAGACATAGAGTGTGTGTGAAACTAACCGTATAACCGCTGAAAGAGTAGAAGGGTCCCAGCTCTGTCTTGACATCTTCCTCAAAATTCATCAGCTCTGTTCCGATGGTGAAATCACGACCCTGAAGTGTCGCAATCCATAAAACATCAACAAAAATCATTTTGCCACATTTATTCACAGGTAGGAGGACAGGAAATGATGGAGGAAGACAAGGGAACAAATTTGGAAAAAAAAAATACAAGTCAAATTCGGACAGATCTGTTTAGAGGAAAGTGAATTATGATTTATAATGGATTACGAATGCATCGTAAGTGCACTGGCAAAAAGCATTTTCTCAATTAGTGTTTTTCTCTTGCTGTCCACAAAACATTAACACCATTAAACATCCTTTAAACCAAGACTGATTGAACTCACCTTGTACGGGTCCAGATTGATGCCCTCAAAACTGATCCGGGTTTTGTATCCGACCGGGATAAGGACGGGATCTGGGTTCTCGAACCGCGGACAGCTCTTGTTCTAGAACCCAGAGAAGACGGAGAACTCAGGAAAGCGGAGTCTGCTGAAGTCCACACTAATCTATGGCTATTTTCTGAGTGATTTTAAATTCATATCTGACTTAAATGAATGAACATCCATTGAAACCGAAAAACTCATTAACTATGATGATGTGTATGAATAAAACAGTTTATTTACAGCTGAAATCTAATACATCCTCACTGACATTGGCGACTGTGGCTAATTGCATATAATCCATTTTTCCCATCCATTTTTTATTTTATTTTGCCGATTCAGCTAATGTGTTTTGCATTAAAGTCATTTACTTTGTGTCCATTTCATCAGCCATGTGTAGCTGTTTCCAGGAAGCAGCAAATATCAAACAGTGTGGAGGCCATTTCTGAAATTGCTGGCACTGGATATCGACAATGATTCAGCTGTGTGCTTCAAGAAATGGTTTCAAGAAAATAAATAAATTAAATATCTAGACCAGTTGGATCTGGTGCTTGAAAACAAGAAGCACATGAAACTAATCAAAGTGGCCCAAATCAATGGTGCTGATAGCAGACATACATCACCGAGACGTTTACTCGATGTGTACTTTTTCATACGTGTCATTTTTAGCCCATTTCCCATCTGCAAGACTGCTAAAACACTCGCCGTCGAAGGTTAGAATGAAAGTCAGAAAATGTCTTTATTTGCCTAATATACATTCCTGGTCTTAAAGGAACAGTTCACCCAAAAATGAAAAAATTGCTGAAAATGTGCTCACCCTCAGACCACCTGAGATGTAGATGAGTCGATGGAATGCTACATTTCTCCAAATCTGTTCTGATGAAGAAACAAACTCCTCTACATCTCGGATGGCCTGAAGGTAAGCACATTTCCAGCAAATTTTTCATTTTTTGGGTGAACTATTCCTTTAAATGTTATCAAGTGCGTTAATAAATTATTTTCCATTACAGATGACATCATTAGGACGACAATGGCAGGGAAAATAGCCAATAATTGTTTAAACAACTCAAGGATGGTGAGGAGGTGCATTTTTGTGTTTCCCTTCAAAATTCTGTTCAAGTAACTAATCCCACTTTTTTCAATGAATATCCTTGTTTCTCTGTGAAATACATCTGATTATGGAAGTAAAATGGTTGTGAACACCATTTCATGTTGATTTTTTTATTTTAATATGACGCTTCAAACACATTTTATGATGTTTTGGTATCGTATACTACCAGTAAAAAGTTAGGGGTTGGTATTATTTATTTTGTTTGTTTTTGAAGTCTCTTACACTCAAGCTGCATTTATTTGATCAAAAATACCGTTAAAACTGGAACATTATAAATTATTAATTCAATTTAAAATGACTTTTTTTCCTATTTGAATATGTTAAAAAAATATTCCTGTGATGGTAAAGTTGAATTTCCCCTTTTTTTCCAGAATTATTTGATGAATAGAAGGTTCAACAGAAGAAGAGAACATTATAATGTAACATTATAAAAGTCTTTACTTTCACTTTTGATTAATTTAATGCATCCATGCTGAATAAAAGTACCAACTTCCTTACAAAAAAAAAATAATAATAAAAAATAAATGTAAATAATTCTGACGTTAGTATATGTGTACCAAGTGAGAGTTAATAGACTGTATTACTGATAGAAAGGAAGAAAATGGTGCATGTGGGCTCATTGGGTTCTCTGTTCAGTACCTGTCTGTGTTTAATTATATTGGCGCCGGTTTCCGCATCGCTCAGATCCATGCAGGTGTGCGCCGCAATGTTCCACTGACATCCCCAAGCGCTGCTTACACAGGAAGTGCATCTGCAGAGAAACACGCGAGCGATTAAAGCAGAGGACGGCAGAGGTTCAAATCAGAGTTCTAGTTACATTTTCATCAGTGTGTAAATGTTTGGAGTAAAAGCATATAGTCCCGGTGCACTTCAAATAATACTCATCAGCAAAGTCCCAGAGCTCTTAAAAACACAAGGAGAAGGGGAAAAAAGAGATGAGAGATCGACTTTCATGTGTGATGAATGAATGAGAAACGAAAGCAATTTCCTGCTCTTGGAGGGAAAAAAAAAAAACATAAGCAAGTCTCTATAGAATCAAATTCAATTCCAGCTTCAGCGATGCGTTACAATTTATGAGTAAACCTCATCGTTACAGATGCTTGTATTCATTAAACACACAGTGTTGTCAGCATAAAGCACTGACAATAGAAGCCCAGACAGCAAACGTACGGTGTATTTTCTGCTTTCCGGACTGCCGCTGCGCAGTTGTAGAACTTGTACTCGCTGGACGCGAACTGCACGCTACCGTTCACAAAGATGTGGACTGGAACCGCCACGAAATCTACAAAAAAAATACACAGAGAGGGTCAGGAGAAGGTTAGCCAATCACAGCATCAAAGTCTTAAAGATACAGTAGCAAAACAGTCTTAAAGGACAGTAAGGGACTGTTTTTGAAGCAAGAAACCTTGATGGACGTTATAAGTGGACATAAAGTAGACTATATGAGCTATATTTCAAATTAAAGATTGAAATTAAAGTCATAATGAGTTGAATTGGATCGGTCCGATTGTTTAACCAAATCAAGCGATTCAGTGGAAAGAATCAACTCAAAAGAACAATTCGGTCACAAATTAGACAGGTTTCAAGTGAACAGCTAATGGAGGAGAAGATTAGTCAGATTGTCTTCTTTTATGGTGATTTTTATTTTATTTTTTTTGCCCTTTTTGTAGCTTGGACAGATGTGGTCGCACGGTGTGAAATTTCTCAAAATATACGTTTGAAATAGCATGTAAATCATAAAATAAGTAATAAAAACCAGTTAAATATTAAAATACATTTTACTTTAACTGTCATCTGTCATGGCTTATTGCTTTAGTTCAACACTGTGTTCTGTTTATTTTCCCTTGTCCTAGAAGCTTTATATAAAGAGTTTTTATTACCATCATGTTCACTGTCTTCTGTTCAATGAATTTTCAATCATGTCACTCAAATGAGTCTATTTCAGTAGTTTTACCTGGAGCAGAATTTCAGTACTATCATGTCAGCCCTCCAGCACGCGGCGAGCTGTCAAGTCAGGACCATGTCAAACGACAGTACTGATGAACAAACCTTACAGCCTCAAAATGACAGCCAAGTAATTCAAGTTTGTTCCAACAAAAGACATTTAGCAAAAAAAAAATTTTTTTTAAAAAAAAAAAAAAAAAAAAACATGAACTAAAATACTACTTTAATTATTTAATTTAGACTATTGCTATAACTCCACATCATTCTGGACCATTTTAAGAACTGGACTGCTACATTATATGAATTCTAATTCTAATTAATAATAACAGTTGTTTAAAAAAATAAATGAATAAAAAACATTTAAACAAAAACAATAAGATAAATATTACAATGTATTTATTATGAACAATACATTATTGCTTTCATTAATTCTAATTATAATAACATGCATTATTTATTATAAATGCAAATAATAATAGAAAATCTTTAATTACTCATTAAATTAAATGTAAACTATTGCTTTAAATGCTACATAATTCTAGAACATAACAACTTGATTGGTACATGTAGACAAACAATAAATAAAATAGTTAATGTATATTTAAAAATTTTTATTAAATAATTTAATGAAAATTGTAAATTCAAATGTAATTCAAAATAATTAATAATTCAGCTGAGACATAAAATGAGAAGCTTTCAGGAACAGACAGCCCTTCATTAGGGCTAGGGTACTTATAAACAGTGCATTCAGTAACGTAGTCAACATTTCAGAGAGTCTGACACACATATGTGACCCTGGAGCACAAAAGCAGTCTTAAGTCGCTGGGGTATATTTGTAGCAATAGCCAAAAAATACATTGTATGGGTCAAAATTATTGATTTTTCTTTTATGCCAAAAATCATTAGGATATTAAGTAAAGATCATGTTCCATAAAGATATTTAGTAAATTTCTTACTGTAAATATATCAAAACTTAATTTTTGATTAGTAATATGCATTGCTAAAAACTTCATTTGGACAACTTTAAAGACGATTTTCTCAATATTTAGATTTTTTTTGCACCCTCAGATTCCAGATATTCAAATAGTTGTATCTTGGCCAAATATTGTCGTCATCCTAACAAACCATACATCAATGGAAAGTTTATTTATTCAGCTTTCAGATGATGTATACATCTCAATTTCAAAAAATTGACGCTTATGACTGGTTTTGTGGTCCAGGGTCACATATGACGTGTCCTGTGTTGTGAGTGACGTACCTTGGTGCGCAGGTGTCAGCGGTATAAGATGCTGCTCAGGTAAGCGGCAACTGATTCGGCCGTCCACCATCCTGCCGTTGCTCTGATAAGAGCCGAAGGCGCAGAGGATCCGGTCTGAATCTCTGAGGATCAGCAGCGATCGGACGTTTATCTCAACCTGAGGGACATTTGACAAACTCTGAACTGATGATATGAGAGAAAGGAGCAAAACAATCCATAATTTCAATCGGAAATCTTTAAAACTACTACATACAGATTACAAGGAGATGACTGGTTTGGGTTTGTTCCATGCAATTCAATGCAAAAATGATGGATTTATGATGATATTTATCATGTTTAGGTGGAACTGCCACAAAATTAAAAAATTTTGTCTGAATAATTAAGATTTCATAAGAATGTCCTTGAACAAAGAACAACTTTTAAACATTTCTCTCAAGGAAACAGCTATAAGCGTCCTCTAAATGCACACATCCCGTAATCAGAGAACGTATTGAAGCGCAAAACACAACGGCAGCACCTTTACAACAGCATTCTAAACACGCCATCAGCGCCCATTGTGTTTTCACCGTCTGTTCACCAATATGGCCTCGTTGTGTGGGAGTCATGCTCAGCTTTTCTCATAATCAGCGCTGAGCAGTCTGGTTTAAAAATAAGACTCTGGTAATTGTGTCTGCAACACTCAGCCTGGTACCTGCTGGGACTTCAAGCAGCTGAGATTTGGCGGGTGGAAAGAGACGATTTTCACACACTGTTGGTTTGGACTCCACAGCCAACCGTTCTTTTCCTCCGCGCGACTGCACTCCGATCTCCTGGTGCATCTACGCAATCAATAACGCATTAGAACATAACACTCCTCATGCAATTAAATACAGCAATGTTATAAAATAACACTCATGTTCAGGGGAAACATGATGATTGTGTCTTTACATTGCAATTTTGTATTGTGTAAATAATAATCGAATAAAAATCATGAACTCAGTTGGTTCAAATTCAAAGTAGTATATATCTACATATAATAATTAAAAAATGTAATCAAAAATGCATTCAGTTTATATTTAAAATTATATAAAGGAATACAGTACTATACATATATATATATATATATATAGATTGATAGATAGATAGATAGATAGATAGACACAGTAATATAAAAGTGTATGTAAATATATAGAATATATAAGTAAAAAACTTGTCAAAAATGTAAAAATCCATTAAAATATACAATTAAATAACTTAAAATATAAAATAATATATAATTCTAATATAATTCTAATTAAAGAATATATATGTAGTATGCAATATAATAATACTATAAAAATATAATACACAAAAAAGTTTAAGAAAATAAATAGTGTATTTAAATATAAAATAATAAATAAATAAAGCACTGTCAAAAATTCCATTTAATTGTACAAAGATAAAAAAAATTAAATAATCTAAATCATATATATATATATATATATATTCCTATTTTAGTGGAAACAGAGACTGGATTCAAACTTAATAAAACTTAAGACAAATGCACAATTTTAAGTCGAAAACATATGGGTACCTTCCCTCCAGGACACACCAGCCACAGTACGGATCTCTCTGAGCGACGCACGACTGGCAGTCCAACTTCAGATGGCAGGCCTGTACAGGCACCTTTGTGATCTGCACGACCACAAAATAAGGAAATGATTCAAATAAAGTTGCACTCATTAGAGCTATGGTGCATATAAAGGGATGCAACGCAAAACCAATCACAATTCAGTAGATTTTAAAAGGTCCCAAAGAGACAATAGTCAAAACCACACAAAGTAGTTTTTTTGAAAAGTAAATACGTTTATACTGAAATGAACTGATCTAAACGAAGCCTGTATGTTACTCATTTCAAGCGGAATTAATTGCAGAAAATCACAGAGAAGACGACAAACAGCAAAGCATGAAGGATTTCAATACATCACCGCCTTGTAAACACTGCAATTACACCACCGTAAGGTTATAAGCTCAGCAAGACGTACACTATATTGATGCCTTTAAAAAATAATAACGTATATTTCAGCACCAGCAGGAGCTGTAACAATAAAAGCCACTGGAATAGTCGCAATCATGCGTTTCCTGAGGTCGAGGCGGTGATAATCAAAGAGTCTATAATAAATGACTCCAGCCCCGTACCTTTTTCTCGGTGGTGATGTACAAGTGCGCCTGGGTTTTGTCAAAGAAAAGGTTCTTATTTACGTAGCCGCTGGTTTTGTAGCCCGGACCGGGGTTGTACGCCTCTGGATGGCTTGACAAATGTACCTGGGTAAAGAGAGAACAATAGACACAGAGAAACCCGCAATTAAACAGTCCAGCACAGGACAGGACACATCTGTCATATTTACAGACCACACAAAACCCCCTCAGCGTGTCCCACGCACCTGAGCCGCACCTGACAACCCCCAACTAATAGCCTACAAGCCGCATAATGACCATAAAACTGTGGCAGGAAACTCACAAAAACCTCCATCTGGACAGTTTTTATCCATCTATCGCTCAATTTCATCTGTCAATCCAACAAATAATCAGCTCTAACAAAGCCTTTTTATTGGGACGTACGAATTGGACTCACGTGGAGCGAGAGGTTCATTATTTCTAATATATCGTCTAACGTGTTTAGTTGTGTCTTCGCTTCGGTGACAGTAATATCTTTTTCTCTTTCATCCCTCTGTCAGAGATTCGCCACGTTCAACCTCCAATTCCCTCACCTGCCAAAGCCTAAACTCCAGCTTTGTGACGCGCATGCTAAATCAGGTGTGTGACACCAGGTAGCTAGCTGGTTGTAGCGGTTCACTAATTGGTTGTCTCAAATTTCTGGAGATGCTTGTTTCCTCAACACTTCCTTAACAAGGCCTATTTTTCGCCACCCTCCTACGGGCTGTAAATTTTTGGGTTATTTTTACAGTGAGGAAAAGTTAGTTAAAGGGTTACTTCACTCAAAAATGAGTATTGTGTCATTTACTTGTCTTCATGTTGTTTCAAACCAGTATGACTTTCTTTTTTGGAGAATGAAAGGAGAAATTTTGAATACTGTGCTGGTCGTACTTTTCCATGTAATACTAAATAAATTAACTGATGCTTTCAAGCTTCAAAAAGACATTAAGCTGTCATAAAATTATAAATGTAGTATGACTTTTGCTTAAATGTTTAAAGTGCTCTGAAATCATACCTTTGTGTAAAAAAAATAAATTAATTTCACTGATAATCGGTTGAACTCGAGAAGTGAATCAGTTTGATTCATTAATGAATCACTTAGAGTAGTTCTGTGAAGTGAATCAAATGATTCAGTGAAAATATCTAACTCATTAACACTACGCACGTTTCTGAAGCGGCTCTCTTTGCTGCTTCTGTAAAGATAAACGCATAAGCCGCCTTTGAATAAATATAGCCACAATCCCACCAAAATCCGTTGCCATGACTTATCGCGAGAGGCAAAAGGTTACGTTTAAGTCTCATAACATTGGTTAATGGAAACGCCGTCATTTCGCAATACTTTTTTATCGACATTTATAAAATATCGCCAAAGTTTTGCGCAAATCTATAATGGAAACGCGCCTACTGCTAATATACTTCCAGGATGAACAAAAGAGAAGATTTCCACTCAATAACGACTTAAATGTTGATCTTTTCCTCTCAAAAAAACTATTATATGACTCCAGAAGACTTGGGAATATAGTGCATACTGTAAGTCACATGGACAACTTTTATAACAGTTTTATGATGTTTTTTTTAAATCATTTTAAAGCTTGGCAGCAGTTATTCTCATTCAATTTCATTGTATTAAAAAGAATTAAAGTGCCCCTATTACGCCATTTCAAATGTTGCCTTTCATGCAGTGTGTAATATTTGCATAATGCCCATCTATGTTCTACGTTGGCCGGCCGCGAACAACTTGACCTGCCCTCAAACACTGCAGCTTGTTCATGTGGTTAACATCATGTTGCGAAGACGCTGTGACCTACGCTGTGAAAGTAACTTTCACTTCTGAAAGATGAGGCTGCAAAGAATCAGTGGTTAATATTCACAGCAGTACAACCCCAATCTTTTTTACGTTCCCATCATTTTATTGACGACTTCTTCTCAAATCTTGAGGAGTTCATTGCTGGATTCACAAAACACTTGCTCTTGAAAGATGAATCAGTACCCAGTTTATCTGGACCAGCTGGATCCACTGAATCACAGCCTGTAAGTATGATAAATAATAGATGTTTACATTTTCTATCGAATGTTCAAAATATGAAACTATGGCAATGGTCGTATCGTTTCCGACACGCGCTGTACGCAGTAGACCAATCACAACAGACTGGGCCATCTGACCAATCAGAGCAGAGTAGACTCACGGAAAGGAGGGGTTTAGAGAGACTGAATCTAATCGTTTGAGATTAAATGAGGTGATATTAAATGCATATTTTGAGAAATCGAAAGCGTTTTTTTGACCCGGCATGCATGTAAATCTATTGTAGGAGATTCCCAAAACAATATTAGGAACCTACATTTCTGCCATATGTACATTAACTGACAGTCACCACTGATAAGCTACCACTAAATAAAACTTAATTTGCTGTAAAGTGGCTTTGCAACGATTTGTATCGTGAAAAGCGCTATACATATATATATATATATATATATATAATTAAATAATTCAATATTACTATTATTAAAATATTTTTTCATTAAACGAAAACATAAAATACAGGTAAGCAAGTATGTTGGGACATTATCTACTGTTATTAATAGAGATGTGTCCCTGTGTGTGGGTAAAACCCTTTATTTTCATGTAAATGACAGGTGTCCTACTTCATACAGTTATGGACATTCAAAACCTTTGGTAGAGGCTCATAATAAACAAATTGTTTGGTCCAGAAAAAGCTAAGCATTGTCAGTTGTTAAACTAGCAAGAAATACATTTTCCACTTCGTGTCATTGATCAGTGTTATGAAAAGCTGTTACTTACATCGTGTTTGACACATGGCTCATCTTTACTGGACGTGTAGGGACTCTCCACAACTAATCTGTTGTTAATCTTGCCATTGTCCGTGTAGCAAGCAGTAACGATGTCCAAGAGTTTCTGATTGATGTTTTTAAGGGGATACATACACAGAGCTGATTCGGTGGCCCCTTCCTCTGAGCTAGCTACCACAAACAGGACTTTATCCCACTCCCGGACATTCCCATAGTCTGCGGTAGACCAATCACAACAGACTGGGCCATCTGACCAATCAGAGCAGAGTAGACTCACGGAAAGGAGGGGTTTAGAGAGACTGAATCTAATCGTTTGAGATTAAATGAGGTGATATTAAATGCATATTTTGAGAAAACAAAAGCATTTTTTGACCTTGCATGCATGTAATCCTATTGTAGGAGACTCCAAAACAATATTAGGAACATTAAAAATGGCATAATAGGGGCACTTTTATGCCATTTAACTTTTATGCTCATGTGTTACAGAGAAGAAAAACTCATTCAGATGTGAAACAACATCAGGGTGAGCACATGGTACATGGACTATTCCAATAAACCAGTTGTTTATAGTTCACATTCAAATGTCATTCTGTAGTGTTATTCTTATATAACTATGAATACATTACCACTTATATACCCACAAAGTGGCGAAGCACCTCAACGCTATGGGCTATAGCACCTCTGGATGAGGGGTTGAGCACCGTGTGAATGTAGTTTTTTTAATTTAACACAGCTTATCTCACCTTGATCACCTCTCCGGCATTGTGTCCCAGAAAAGCAACGGTGTGATCATTCTCGACAGCCACGGCCACTGCAGTCAGCAGGTTCTGCCTGATGAAGACCGGATTGGCCTTCAAGGCAAACTCCTGTCGACTGGCCAACGGAGATGGGAGAAAATCGGCTCCGCACTTATAGTGGTTCACAATGTCTTTCTGCAAGATAACAAAGAGTTAAGGGAAACAGACACTAAAATAAATATGAAATCAAAATGTACTATTTATACGCTACTCGCCTTGTCTTGTTAATCTTTCAACAAAATATAATAACTTGCTCCAACTCTAATACATTTTTTCTACAAGTCTACATTTTTCCTTGTATCTTCTTTCACTGCATCACAGAAATTAAATGGGTTACAAAAGAGCACATTTTGTACATCTCTACCCTTCTTCGGGTGCTGTATGTTAAGCACATAGAAATCATTAGTTCTTGCTGCAGTTTTCCCAAAACACACTATTTTAACCGGGATAATTTCAGGATGCAAGCAGAAATGAAATCACTCAAAAATATAGAGTCTGTTTTCATGAGCGTTTCAAAAAAGAAAGCATTTTTTAAAAATATAATTGTTTTTAAGGGGATACATACACAGAGCTGATTCGGTGGCCCCTTCCTCTGAGCTAGCTACCACAAACAGGACTTTATCCCACTCCCGGACATTCCCATAGTCTCCGGATTCAGATATGGCCTGGGCCAGCATTTTCCCCGGTTCTGTCAAATACGCAGCCTGGACTTTGTTATAGCGATTCTTCAGACCACAACTAAGCTGAAGCTCCGTGTACGAATAATAGTGATTGTCGTTTTCGCAGAGGCGCGAAACGAAAGTAAAGTTCTTGTTGTCCGTTCCGCCGAGAGTGCGTGAAAAGAGGAAGTAGACGAAGTTGTCGTTTTTGAAGGCGAAGCGGAAGTCGTGCAGGTACTTGGGCACAAAGGGAACCGCCTGGACAGTAGACGCCTCGATGATGCTCTCGAACACGACCCAGTCGCGGTAGTTCTGCATGATTCTGGTGCTGATGAGTTTGGAGCTGTCCATGCTTCCGTAGCCCTTCCCTACTAAAAAGACGCTAAACGGTTTATCGTCGATTTCAAGCGTGGCCATGACTCCTACCACGGAAACGTGCTCTTCAGTGCTGGTGGCGTAGGTCCGCTCCCCTTTGCTGTCGCTGTAGTATATTTGCTCTTTGACGTTGGTGAGGTTGAGCAGAGAGCAGATTCCTCGGTACAAACTCCCACAGACTATCAGTGACCCATTAGCCGAATGAACCAGCAAGAGTTTATTGGTGTTGTTGGTGTCTTTCAGGTCCTGGCAAGTAGACACCGGAGGGGTGCAACCCCTCGCATCTTTCTTGGGCCCCGTTTCAGCTCTGGCCTCAAGGTGCAATGAAGAGTTCAACTGATAAATGGCATTGACAGCACCCAGGTAAACACGACCAGTCTGTGGGTCTTGTGCCACATTATTGATGGGCGAGTCCGTGGAAAACTCCAGTATGGGCTCTTCGGAGGATGCAGCAGTTACTTGTAGCACCAGTACGAACGCTGGTAACCAGGTGGCCATTGCTGGGGAAAAAAAAAGAGTTTGAATTAGGACAAATGACAAAATACAAAGTTCAGTTGTTGGGGAGTTGAATTGCGTGGTCAAGCAAATATAAAAGTGATTTTAAGTAATAGTGCTTGCTAATTACATCACTATTACTATTGCTCATACACATTAGAGCCCTAAAAACCACACAGAACAAAGCAAAACTCACTAAAACATTGTAGCAACCACCTAGAACACCCTAGCAACACCCTAGAAACCTAAACTAAAACATCCCAGCTACACCCGAGGAACATCCTAGCAACCCCCGGAAACACCATAGAAACTCCCTAGAAAAACCACTCAAAACATCATAGAAACCCCCTTGAACACCATAGTGACCACCCAAATATCACAGAAATCCAATAAAACAGCAACACCTTAGCAACCCTCAGAACACTTTGGTAACCTCCTAGAACATTCTAGCAACAGCCTAGAAACCACCCAGAGCAACACAGAAACTTCCTAGAACACCCTAGAAATCACCCAGAACACCTTGGCACAATCCTCCCAAAAACAACACAGAAATCTAATAAAACATTCTAGCAACACACTAACAACATCTAGAACATCATAGAAACATAGAATACCCTAGAAACCAACCAGAACACCTTGGCAACTCCCTAGAACAGCCCCCCCCCCAAAAAAAAACATTCTCGCAACACCCTAACAACCTCCAAAACATAGAAACTCACTAGAAACCCCAAGCAAACACCCAAAACAACATATAAAACAACTAGAACATCCTTGAAACCCCCTTGCAACCCAGAGCATCAGATAAACTCACTAAAACACCACAGCAAACATCAAAACCCAATAAAAACCCAACTACCACACAAAACAGCATAGAAACTCCCTAAAACATCCTAGGAACCACCTAGAACACCCTAGCAACACCTTAGAAACCACCAGAAAACATAAACACCAACTAAAACATCCTAGCAAAACCCAAGCAACATTCTATGAAATCCTAAATACACCACAGAAACTCCTTAGAACAACCACTCAGAACATCAAAGAAACTCCTTAGAATACCATAGCAACCACCTAGAACACCTTAGCAACACCCCAGAAGCCACCCAGAACATCATAGAAACTCCCTATAATCCCCTAGCAACCACCCAACACAGCTCAGAAACCCACTCAAACATCCTAGCAACCACCTAGAACACCCTAGCAACACACTAGAAATAGCCCCTCCCCTCCCAAAAAATAAAAACAAACACCCACTAAAACATCCTAGCAACACCTGATCAACATCCTATCAACCCCTGGAAACTGCTTAGAACGACCACTCAGAATGTAATAGAAACTCCCTGAAGAATCCCAGCAACCACCCAGAGCATCCTAGCAACCAGCAAGGTAGCCATTTCTGGAAAAAGAACAGTGAAAATTGGAAGAGTTTCCACAAAGTGAACACACAAACATAACAGAGCTACAACAGTTGGTGAAGGTCACTACAGGTGGAGTCGACCACGACGCTCAATCTCTCGGCCCATTCATCCCTTCAGAGAAACATTCTTCAAATTAAAAAGCCTGATGAGGCTCAAACCTGGGTGACTGTTTTATGATGTTAACCTGCCATTCCCTGGAGTTCCATCGACGCGCGAAATGATAACGCACTCACCCTGAGGGTTGAGTTAATTTCAGCTCTCACATTCATTTACATAAAACCCCCTGCCCTTCTATTGGCAATTTTCATCTTTTTTTTCACCTTCTCCCTGCTGATCACGAAGCTCATTTATTACAAATTCCATTTCTTCACGTAAATGTAGCTGCCCTTTTTAGTTCATACCCTTAAACAATTCTTTTTAATTTGGAATGGTGGCTTAACTTGGTTTACGCCGTCCGTCCTCTTTTCGGGAAGTGGTTTGTTATTCTTTTACTTGGTCCTGAGGACGTTTTTGCTCTTGTCTGATGTGATGCAGCAGTTTAGGTTGAAATCAGGTGTAGATGGGTGCTATAGTCGCAAAAGTGTGACCAGTCATCCAATGAGTTCTCTGCAATGTCTCAATAGTTTCTCTTAAACAGTAAAGAGACTTCTTAATGTGTTTGGAAGTGGAACATCTCAATTGTTTCTCCTAAACAACAAAGAGATTAAATTGAGAGGAAATTTAGACTTTTGATTGTGTCTCAAAGTTTCTCTGTGGGAAAGCAAAGAAAAAAAATCACAAATGAGGATTCTGTAACGTCTCAGTTGTTTCTCTTAAACAGCAATGAGTTCAAATGAAGACCAAATTGAGCCTTTTGCTTATGAGTGAAATTGAGAGCAGATTAAATTGAGAGCAAATTGAGACTTTTGCTTCTGTCTGAAGGGTGACTGATCCTAAAAAAAAAAATAAAAAAATCACAACTCTCAACTGATTCTCATTGAAAGTAAAGATAATAAATGGATAGATACTAGGGCTGCACGAAATGGAATCGAGATCGCGATTAGGCAGAAGCTGCGACTGTCATGCGTATCTTTCAGTGAAGCACGGTTCTGTGATCAGCAGTAAATCTCCATCCAAAGGCCAGAGGGCGCTCTCGCGCTGAAACTCCATATACGCCTCGCAGAAGAAACCCAGAAAATGAATAATCGATGCAGCTGAATAAACAGAAGATTCAACTGCTTTCATTGATTCAACATGACTAATAAACACACGACTACGGCAATATACGGTTTATCGGAGTTCTTATTATTATAATTTTCATTAAAATAAAGTATATTTATAATGCAATGCCTTTATCACTGCTTAAATACTATGAAATATGTTGCGTGCCTTATTCTCTGTAAGAAGCCACATCATCTCACAGAAGGATGTATTTCAAACACTCGACTGACATTATGAAGTGAGTTTGGAGTAAAAATATGTTATTAAATGTGGTATTTTCACATGCTTTCAGATGGAGCAGCATTTACTTCACAGAGCCGTAGTTCACTGAGAAGCTATGCAAACAGCTGTCATTATCGCGAACGATTTCTTCGATTTCATAATCGCGCAATAAAATCGTCTGCGATTTTTTTTGCTTAACTTGTCAGTGAACTACGGCTATGTGTAGTAAATTCTGCTCCATCTGAAAGCACGTGATGATGATTTCCTGCTAATTACAGAACCAGCTTTACTAACAAAATGCGCATGACAATCGCATTCGATTAATCGTGCAGCCCTAATAGATACTCAAGATTTTTCTTGTGTCTACAAGTGTGACTGACCCTGTAGTAGAGAAAAATCCCCAAAAAGACTAAATGGAGAGCAAACAGAGACTTTTTCTTGTTCTGAAAGCATGAATGATCCTCTTTGTAAAGACAAACCACCAATGAGATCTCTGTAATATCTCAATTGTTTCTCAACAAATAAAGACCTTTTCTTGTGTCTGAAAGTATGACTGTAAATAAGAAAAATCAAGTGTGACTGAACATATAGGAGAGAACAAAAATCACCAACAAGACTAAATAGAGTGCAAATGGAGATTCTGCTTCTCGGACTACAGCTCCTCTAAAATTTTAGAAGAAATCTCAACAATTTCTCTATACTCAGATTTGAAGTCTCCCATCAAAAATCAGTTTTGATAAAAACTCGAACATTTCGCATCAAAGTCTCCCAAAGCCAAATGATCTGAGCTGTAATCCACATCTTCTCCATCTACTCTTTCTGGATGTCAACAGTTGATTTGAGCCTGCTTGTGGAATCTGAGGAGAAACATCTAAGACGAAGTTGATACTTCAATGTATCATTTGTGTCTATTATTTTTGGGGACACATCTGATGCAAAGTTGCTGCTCCAATAACTTTCCTGAGCTAAGAAGCACCAATCTGTGAGCAATCAAATTTTGCTCAGAGATTTACTTTGGGATTGGGTTTAGGAGCACTATGGAAGCAAAGACCATCTCAATGCATCTGCCTGCAGGTGCTTGAAAGGAATCATATAATATTTAACCTCTAATTGAGGAAGACAAATGACAGCATTTACTGACAGCGCTAGACCTGAAAGGATATTTCGGCAGCTCTAACTCAATACTGAGCTCATGGACACAAAGGAAATGGGACGTGGACATATAGATCAGTGACAGAGACTTCGCTTAAGAATCACACATATATCTTCAGGGATCCAATTACCCTGACATGTGTGTTCGTAATGCAGGACAGAAGGTCAAGACACACTGGCCTGCGTCCATTAATTCTGTTATTGCAGTCAGTGCGGACAGCAGCCTTGGAGAAAACTTAGCCGTCTGTCTCAATTAAAGCAAATGACAAAGCGCAGGATTCAAATGCTAATTTGCTGGGGTGTTGAGTTTCGTGGTTAAGTGAGTATAAAGGTGAGGTTAATTAGTAGCGCTTGCTAGAACAAACAATTTTACTATTGTTCATACTTACATTGTGTTTTACAGACATGAAAGATACCTCAAACCTCATGTGGTTTGTCTGTTTGCAATCAGACATATAATTTGCACCTGATGGATGACAAAACAGGTTAAAAAAATTATATAGACTAACATTGAATCAGCATTGAATCCACTAAATCCCCTAGCAACCAGCTAGAACAGCTTAGCAACCACATGAAACACTCTAGCATCCACCAGAATGCCCTTGAAATCCTCTAGAGCAGGGGTTTTCAACCCAGGGGGGCGCCAGCACCTGTCAAGGGGGGCGCGAGCATCAGTTAATTCAGAGACGTTCCCTTGAGAATTTATGAATATGAGTTAACAATTTAAACATTAAAGTGATTTTAAGCCATTTAAGCCCAAGACATCTCAATGCGGTACTCACGTACTGTGATAGAGCGTTTCTATGCGCACCGCTCACACACCTGAAGTGCACAAACAGATAGCCTTCTCAGACAGCAGGTGAATACCAATGGGTGTCTTGACAAGTATCCTTGTAAGCACAGTCGGTTGTTTTAAGTGAATGTAAACAGTAAAGAAAATATCAAATGTACATCAGTATAACGGATCCGTGCATTTCTTATGTAAATAAGAAAAATTATTTAAGAATATTCTT